AATATGAGAATATGGTCCTGGAAGTAGGGAAGACCTTTTGGGAAACACGCCTTATCATTGACCTTTCTTCACCAACTGCAAAATAAGCAGAAGATCCACAGGTAGGTTAATATCATCGACAGAGCGATTCCTGGGTAGATTCTTCAGGACAGCTATAGTTGCATTTTCCAGCCTCTGTCATTTGCTGTATCCCTCAGTAACCACTTGGTCTCCAGTAGAAGAGAAAGACAGCTTAGGATGCGACAAAGGCCACCAAAGGCTGCACAGTTTCTCTCACGTCCTGCCCTGGACAGGATTTCATGAGTCAGGGCCTTTTGGTCTGGCCTGCCCATGATTTTTTCATCAGGTAGGAAAACAGATGAGAATAGGACCTTGCGGGGTGGACAGGACTCCAAAAACCATCAGTGGCCCGAAGCTGACTTGATGGCAAGGATCAGGTTTTCTCGGTTCTTTTGACACAAGTTTCTCAGCAAAACCAGGTATGGTTTTGCTGGCTTCTGGGTGGCACAGCTTCAGGTGGTTCCTTTGCTTTCTGTGTCCCTCATACTCATGAATATCATGGTGGGATGCACCCCATTGTCTACACATCCCAGTTGTCTGTCTCCTTAATGTGTCTTGTTGGAAAGTGTGGCCAATGATTCTTTCCATTCAACTTACAAGACTCATGCTTTGGGCCACTGCGCTCCCTCTTGCAGGCCAGCCCACTCCCTCACAGGAGGGTGCACTTCTTGTCCTACTTCTTCCCCAAAGGCACTCTGCAGAGCCTGTTTCTTTTCCTACCTTTAATGAAAGTTGGCTACCACTGTGCTTTCTTTGGGCAAGGGTTCTGATCCTGGAGGAGAACCCACAGGGTCCCAGGTGTGGCTTCTCGTCTCTGAAAAGGCAGGCAAAGTGCTGCCCGGGGGCTACTGGGAGGAGAGTTGGCAGGTGAGGTGTCAGGGGTGATGGTGTGTGATGCTCTCAGAGAGGGTGGAGGATCCAGAAGGCCACGGTGCCCTGAGACAGTGTGTGTGAACGCAGCAAGGGGGGGTGCTGAATCACTTTACGTTTAGGGCCATTACCTTCAACTGCTAGGAATAGGGACAGGGAAGTCGGTTTTACAATGCTTTTGTATAAGGGATAATTACAGAAAAGTAGTGAAGGCACTGCAGAATAGCTGGGGGGGAGGAAGTTTGTTCATCCCTACAGGTAAACTTTAGTAACATTTTCCAGTGACTGCCGTTGATGCAACAGAAAAGACTCTGCATGTTAAGACTAGAAGACAAGCAAACAGGCGGCTCTGAAATCAAGCCTCGCTGAGGATCACAGAATGGCTGTAGAAGTGACAGTATATTTTTTGAGGTTGAGTCTCTGAAAAAAGGAGGTAGGGGATTTTGTGGATTGACTGAATAGTCTTTGTTCTATTCCTGTTTATCTGATAGTATTGAGGATTGAGCCCAGGGCCTTCACACTGAGATATATCCCCAGTCCTTCTTTCATTTCTTTTTTTGGGGGGACAGTGTTTCTCTCTAAGTCCAGGTTGAAACTGTTAGTTAACCAGATTGAGAATGAACTTGGCGGTCCTCCTGCCTCAGTCTACCAGAGGGCAGGGATTACAAGAATGTGGCACTAAGAGTCTATAACAACAAAGTTGCTTCTACTTACTGGATTGTCAGTTACCAGTTAAAGTTAAACATTTGGCCTCAAATCCAACTGATTAGTTAGTAAGTTTCTCCCTTATCTAAAATGCCTATTTTTTTAGATGAACTACAGAAAGGAAGTTACCTCTTCACAGTTAATTAAATACTGACTCCATACAGCTTCATTAATGCAAAGGGGGCATCCAACCTCGTTGACATTTGTTTAGGGGGCAGCCTGAGCAGCCGTCTAGATGTGCGAGGCTCCGGTCCTCTGCCTGTGGACCCACCAAGAGCTGGCTCTGCCCTCCTGTGTTTCCCCTCATATATGCATTCTGCTGCGAAAGCCACACACAAGAGATACACCGTGTGCTTAGAAAACATTTTGAGCGTCACAACTCAGGGCTGTTCTTTCCCCTCCAAACCAGAATGGGAAGAATCCCCTCAGCTACCTTCCGGCAAAGCTGCTTAGGCCTCAGTGGCAGGGAAGAAGGAGCTTGTTCACAGCACCACACTTCAGAATGGCCACCAGCCACCAAGGTACCTAAAGGTGAGCTCTATACCAAAGAAGGGTGAACTATGGAGCCTCGGTGGGTGGGACACATCTTGTAGCTCAGAAAGCACAGCCAGCACCTCACTGTTAGTGTCCAGGGGAAACGTCTATCACAGCCAAAGAAGGCCAGGCGCTGTTCCACTGTGAAATCCAGACAACTGACCGGAAGCCCTCCAGCTTGCATGGCCGCCACGCCACTGCTCTCCGCAGGTGGGATGAAAGCAGGGGCAGCTGGGAGCTGCCCAGCGAGTTGGCAGGCTGCTCTTCATGGGCTTGCTTTCTTCCTTTCTTCATCGCCACATACTTCACAAGCCAATTTCAGTGTCTGGCCTTGACTCTGGAGCCCCACTGCTTATTTAGCCAGGATATGAAAGGCAGTATGTCAGCAGATTACTACGAAGTGTTCAAGCTCAAGGTGACCAGAGAGCTTACCTAACCGAGTAGGAAATGTTTAGGAGAGAAAGGGATGCTTTTTATAATCATACCAGACACCAGGCCTAAACCAGGCCCTGTCCTGAATAAATGGGGCAGTTTCCCAGTCCCAACTATCTGTTCCCCGAGTATCACAGGGGGAAGGCAGAGTCACTTTGACGCATGTCACAAGATTGAATCCCGCAGCTCTCGGGTGCTAGCATGAAAGCCTGCAGCTGGCCCCAGGCTCCTAAGAACTGCGTGCAACTCCAAAGTCCCTTATCACACAAACCATGGAGTAGAGGATGCCTTCCTGTTCACATGAAGGCCACGTGCGATGTTCTGAGGTTTAGTGGTGGCTCTGTGGTTCTTAACTGTCATTTCAGATGACTCCTTCCTGCCAAACTACACGCTTGGGCTTAGAAACAGCCCAGCACGCACTACGTCTTTTGAGCACTGTGTAACATTCATAAAGATTGCCAGAGTAGATTTTGAAGGGGCAGCATTTCCTTGTTCTCCAGGGACATAAATTCTCTAAAGAACAAGCCTGAGGACACCGCCCCAGTGCCCCTGGCCTTCACCCATACTCTTCCTATCCACCGAACTTATGTGCCAGCCTTGCCCACGAGCTCGAGCTACACCAGGCAGCAGAAGGACCAGCTCGCTGCATGGTCAGCTGTGGCAAGAAGCGTTGCAGAAGAAACCCAAACCCAACTCCAGGCACATTAAATCACACATTCGAAAATTGGTTTTAAACCCACAGTGCTGGCAAGACAACTGCATACACATCCATCCCTGAAGCACTAGCCACACAGACAGTCACCTTCAGAAGAGAGAAAGGAAAGGAGGAAGAACTTACACTACTATCATCCATTCTCTCGCGCCTTTTAGACTTGTGTGTCTCATAGTCTTCCATGAGGGTCTGCATCAGATTCTTGGGCCGCTGGGTTCCGGCAGCCTCTTCGGGGGTTAAGTCAGGCTGCGAGCCGGGGCCTTCAGTTGTGGGGGATGGAGGAGGTTTGACTTTCTCTATTTTCCCTGAAACAACATGAAGAAAACACCCTTTCTAAGCTTTGTCTGCTCACGACTGCTTTTGGGAAGAGGAGAAAACTGGCACAAGCACACACACGGAAAAGTGACTTCTGACATCACAAGTGGTTCCAGGATGATGGATAGACATTGACTATTTTATTAAGGAAACAAAGCCCTTAAAAGAAATGCAGTCATCCAACAAAGACCTCAAAGACACTGGTTCCAAAAAGTCAGTTAGATCGAGTGGGCCTGGCAGGCACAGGCACTTTGCACGCATGCAGCAGACAGACAGCGGCTCCTGCGGTCTTAGAGGCACCTCTTCCGTCACAGATCAGAGGAGGTGGTGCCTTGGAGCCTTACAGACCCACTTCTTACAGACGAGGCAACCTGAGGTGCCACAAAGAGAAGTCTGTGCTGGACTGAAGCCCCCAGCACCAGGGAGGGCACCCAGCCTCCATCTTCGTCCTCTGCCATAAGTGGCCAACTGTCAGCTTGCCTGCCCAGGCTTTCTGCCTGGACAAGGTAGTATTGCAAAGCCTTTGAATAAGAGTGAGGCTTGTTTTCCCCAGGCCACCCAGTCTTTTATTCACCAGTTTCATCGTTTTCCTTACCTGGTGGAGTCCTGAAGGCATCTGAGTTTGAGGTCTCCTCAGACCTTAAGATACCAACAAAGGCGGCAGAAAAGTATATGCCAGATGTGGAAAGGCATGAGTTTAGCTCTTGAGATTCCCTTCAAGAAGTCTTAAGAAAGAGGAAGCCAATGGTTAATTAGACAGCAGTGAGGTGACACTGGGCATTTTTGCCAAGAACATTTACGACCTTCCTTCTTGGGAAAGACCTGGCCTTGGCTTCAGACCTATCAAGGGGGGTGGGTGGTTCCACAGAGACCCAAAAACACCTCTGGGAAGGTGCCCAATACTAAAAATTTTTCTGAGTACACCCTTTGTGAGTGACATAGTTGGAGTTTGCTACAATCAATGCAGAGAACCCATGCAGAATAAATGATCCGCTCAAGCCCAAAAGTGTGGACACTGACAGGTGTGTGTGTGTGTGTGTGTGTGTGTGTGTGTGTGTGTGTGTGTCCCACTTGATGTCTTTCATTTCCAACCTGAAGGAAACTTACATTTCTCATCCTGTACTGCTCATTTGGCCTCTGCCTGACCCAACAGGCATCACTAATGGAGCCCAGAGTCAGTACCTCTGTGTGGACAGTTGTTACCTTTTATTGGGGACAAACTCCTTCTGGTAACAGCTCAAAACTCTGGTTTTTCATTCTTATTCTATTAACTAGCGGCAAATCATCATTTATTGTTTCATTCCATACTTGAGCTGATCAATTATATTCTCAAAGCTTTAACTTTTATAAGGGTTTTGGAATGAGTTGTCATTGTGTTGGAATACATATATCTTTTTTGAGATAAGTTCTCACTGTAGTTCACGTGCCCTTGAACTCATTCTGTAACCAATGATGGCTTCAAACTTGCAGCAGTCCTCTTGCCTCAGCCTCCCAAACCAAAGCTGGTATTACAGCCATGTGCCACCACACTTGGCTAAGCTTAATGTTTAGAACAGAAAGCATCTAATAAGTCTATCTAGTACCTAGTTGGAATCTCAAAGGATAATATGGCTATAGTGTCAAAACGAACACTACTTCTCTATGAATTCTCTGGATCTTTTTTTTTTTTTTTTTTTTTGCAACACTTGTACAAGCAGAACTAGATGCCCAGTTGCCTGGCTGATCACCATCATCATTCGCTTGACCTCTCCAGGCCCAGATCATCTCTCATCAGCAGCTCTTCTTTCTAGATAGCGGGGTTGGCACGCCCTGCCTCTAGCTCCCCTGCCTCACTCTCACAGCCCTGGGCTTCACAGGATTCTGTATACGTGTGTGTGAAAGCCGTCTGGTAGTTACAGATCCTACTCTCTCACACTGTAAAAGCATCTGAAAAGATGTACCATTTCATCCTTCTGGGACTTGCCTTGGTTTGTGAGGCAAGTAAACCTTTTAGGGTAGGGTCTTGTCCATTACGGCCACTGCCGGACTCCAACAGCAACTGTGGCCAGAGGCAGGAATTGATGTGTTTTGGGTAAGCCAGGGAAGCATTACAAAATATACACGTGAAGCCTGTGGATTGGAACAGAATCCCCCACAGGGAACCTGGAGAAAGAGTTCAAATGTGTTCACCAACGCACATGAAATAAAATAAATATCCTACTGCTATAAAGCCACAGATTGCTGGTTTCTCAGTAGTAATGTGACATTCGTTTGTAGCCTTTATATCTTTTAATCCTTACAATAACCCTGTGATTTACTTAGGGTAGATGTCACGACACCTGAAAATGGCTTAGGCCATGTAGGCTCAGATGCTAACTCCACCCTGAGTTATATTTGATAGTAACCAGAGTTAGTCTGGAGCACAAACCCATGTTGATCATGGTTAAGTTGTACTTGGGATATATGACAAGAGAGAGTTCTAAAGAGCATGAAAAGTTACTCTAGAGAGCAGTCAGCCTTTAAATACCAAAGACATTTCTTGCTAGACAGGATCTCCCTCCTGGTCCTGCCTCAGCTTCCAGAGTACTGAGGATGACAACTGTGCACACTGATACCCAGCTCTCTCACCTGAGATCTAGATCCTGCACTAAATACACAAATATAAGGTGGCTTGGAGGATTTGAGAGGAGAGGTTTCAGGTAACCAAGTCCAAGTCCCAGCCTCAGTGGGGACATCACAGGCACTGAGCCTCATCCTGGACTTCTAACCATCAGTCGGGTCGGTAGCGGGAACGCTTGCTTAACCAGGGGCCCTCTGCTGGGCTCTAAATCATGTGCTAGGATATGGTGTGCCAACTTAGGAAGCACACAGAGAGGTGAAAAGCAGGAGCAGGTCTCATCTGATACCATCCCCAGAGGTGTCCTGAGTTCGCCACCATTGGTCCCTTCTGCTAGGAAAAGTGAGAGACCTCTGTGCCCCTCCCCCAGCAGTGGTCACTGCAGAAGCCACCACTGCTTGGGTCTCAGAGATCAGCACAGGAATGTGCTGCCAATGGCCCATGCCAGAGTCTGGGAGGGCAGTTGGATTTGTCTAATGCTGGCTGTCTTCAATGCTCCCTTCCTTGCTTCCTTCCTTCCTGTGGTACCAGGAATCGAACTCAGGACCTTGTGTATGCCAGGCAAGCACTTATTCCACTGAGCTATCTCTCTGGCCCCCTGGCGCTCCTTTCCTTTGCTCTGCTGTCATCTCGCAGCACCTCCCCAGTAATAGCAGCTTCCACCCCCACTTTCCATCAGCAAACCTTGCTCTCATATTCTTTCATTAATGGTGAATGATTCTGCGGCTGACTACTGGAAAGTGGCTCCACTTTCAGCAACTCACATCCTGCCCTTGGGCTCCTTGCCCAGGCTAAGCACTCCGGAAGGACTCAGAGAACAGCAGTCACTGTCTCTGGAAAACTGCACCAGCAGAGCAGGGAGTGTAGCCCCCAGGCCCACCCTGCCAGGGTTTAGGCTGCACCTCATCTATGGTGTAGGGAGAAGCAGCAACATGACCTCTGCAACAGCCACAAGGACACAACAGTACCAACACTTGTGGAGGATGGGAGACATTGAGCTTGTTGCATTCATAAACAGCATTCTGTTTGAACTATTCCATCTAATCTTATACCTAAGGCTTTGAGGTATTTGAGGGAAAGCAGCTTTAACAGGCTGGGTTAATTCCAAAGTAGTGTTTCCAAAATGATGTCCTATTATCCTAGCAATGTGAGGTAGCTCTCCATGTTGCAAACAAAGAAAAGGAAATTATTCAAAAAGTCTGGAGAATGCTGCATTAAACAAAGGGGAAAGGGGGAGAGATCCATATCCAGAATAACTCCAGTTTTAGTGCTACTATGATTACGAATCTCTAACGCAAGAATAGAAATGCAGCATTTTTCCAATTTATTTAACCAAAGAACCTCACTTCATCAAATTCCTAATATTATCTCAAGGCAAACAACGTGGGAAACACTATTCTCTAATATATTCTGGCTAACGAGTTTTCAGTTCTTTTGGCACAAGTTCAGCAAATGATTACATATGAACACAAAGTGTATTTATGTACAAGAAATGTCACCATAGCACTTAAAAAAAACCATCATACCAAGTTATTTGCCTATAGGAAGATGCTTACATTAGTTATCTCTCATTGAGATGATACAAATTATTTAACCATTACAACTTATGTTCCAGACTCTGGAATTTAAAGGACTCATTAAGCCAATAGAAAATATGCAAAATAGATTAAGATAAAAAGCAAATCACAAAAGCAGATGTACTGTGGGAGTTTAAGCAGGTGTGCTCCAGAGCCAGGCGGCACAGGGTCAAGTCCTAGGTCACCACTTACTAGCCTGGAGAACCAGACATGGCATGTGGTAAGACTTTAATCAGTCAGATGAACAGCACGTGATTGGCAGAATAATGGCATCCCAGGGGATGCTCGGCTCCTAGTTGCCCACGCCTGTGACAACGTCGCCTTATGTGGCATGAAGAATTTCATAGGCGATTAATTAAGTTCAGGTACTTGAGGTGAAAAGACCATCCTGTGTCCTCTACTTGAGTCTGATGCAAGCATAGAAAGGAAGGACGAGGGACACTGACACAGAGAGATCTGTGAATGCTCTCCTGCTGGCTACGCTCCGTCTCCAGAGATGGAGGAAGAGAAGGCCGCGGGCCATGGAGTGCGCACAGAATAGAGAATGGAAAGCGGAAGGAAGGAACACCTTGATTTCAGCCTCTCTGAATCTGCTCAGGCAGCCATGCAACCGACCTACCCTACACCCTTGACTGAAGCAACATTTACTTCCAGATCAAATTGCCACCACTGTTTGGTTTCCAGTGAGAGGTCCTTTCCTGGCTGGCAAGCAGCTGCCTTCTCACGGTGTCCTCACGCGGTGGGGAGAGCGAGCAAGCTCTCCGCTGTGTCTTGTTACAAGGACACTAATCCCATCACGAGGGCCCCACCCTCATAT